AGAGACAAATATCTCAAAGAATATAGAGTGAAGAACACAAATATATCAATACTCAGAGAAGCAAAATAGCATCGTATAGTTATCCAGATGTAAAACATCTTCACTAAACCCCCAAAGCTAACTTAACCGAAGAAAAACAACCTTGTGCTTAACACGAATATTTCACTTGACTCACTTCACCATTCCAACACCTTTGCCAAAACTTATCGTAAATTCAGGATATGGATTTACAAGCTTATGAGAGGCAACCTTGACACAATCTTTGACTTAAATTGACTTTAAAGGATATAGTATCCAATGGAATTCTTAAGATGCTGAGATATCCATTGAAAAGGGCCAGAGAAGCGAAAAAAACCCGACGTAGTAGCCACTACGGCAAAACATCCCGACTCATGTAGTCAGATTTCCCGCTACGGCTGGATGCAACTGATGTAGATGCACAGTGTCTCATTTTGGGGGAAATTTACTTCCGGCAGCCATATCAGCGCCAGCCGTAGTGATTTGCTTAAAGTCCCTAATACTTTTTCTTCAACTTTCAATGTCAACTGACAATGTTCAATAATAATTTTACTGAAAATTGTAAAGAAATTCACTTACTGCAGCTTTGCACCACGAGCAGCTAATTGCAATGATATCCTGTTGGGAAAAAAAAAAAAGTTTATAACACAGAGGAGCAAAGCAGGATATGTATGACTATGAAAATGCTTGTAAACCTATGGTTGGCATAAGGGTTTACCATAATTTGAAAGTATGTGGGACATTTTGTAAACTGACCTAACCAATGTCAGCCACGCTACCACTTGTTATCCTAATACAATGATACATGTAATTAAATTGCATGATTTACCTTGGTCTGAAAGGACAGCTTATGCTGGAAAGACTGCCAGAGAAAGAAAAGCATGTTAACATATAATATTTAATGTTTACAGCAACTGGAAAATTTGCCATTGTGAACCTGTTCACACCATCAAAGTTCATTACAATTTAGAGATACAAGTCATCACAGGGTTTGATGAAGGAGGAAACAGTGAAGCCTATTCTTATCTCCGTGTGATTCTGTTGCATTCAATACTATAAGTTAGAGTAAATAGTGGACAAGCCTTTGCACCATACCAAATTTATCAAAGCCAATTATGTTTTTAAGTCTTAAGTTAACAAAACAATGTGCATATTTTGATCATGCCCATTCAAAATTAATATAAGTTTACATGCAGGGATACCCAACCCAAAAAATTGTGTCGGTAACACAGGATGTTACAATTTATTTGATTTTTGGATAGGCATGTTTGAGCTGGGAAACCATGACTGAACGACATTACAATCTCACCTTGCTGCAATGATGGCATTTCCCTTCTTGTTTCCGTCGATGAACCCAGTGATGACGGACATTACTCTAAAACAAAAACCCCAGTCAATCAGTAATACTTTCACAGGAACAGAAAAACCCTCAAAACCTAATTAAAAACATTATTATACTGGTCAGCAAGTCTTTACTTTGATATCTATCAAAAATAGTTGAATGGAAAGAGCTAACATAAATTATAACTGTCACTTTACTCAGTGTATATAAGGAGGTGCAGACAAAAATGAGAAGGAATACAGCTGCACTGCACTAGTCTGGCAACTAACTGGCCATAAAGATGTCTGAAAGCTACACTACAAAGTAGTCAAGGTTATTCTTGGGGTCCAGTTATATGACAGCTAAACCCAGATGCCTTTCTGCAAACAAGTTAAAAATCTGCCTTAGTTTCCAATTGATGATGGGTACCCAAAACAGCAAGTCACCAGGGGAGAAGTTATACTTTGCCAAGTTCACATGTCAGTACAGTATAGGAACTGAAACTGAGAACTGTTCTTCAGTAAAGGAATATTGTTATCGCTTAAGAGACTTGACACTAATTACCACTGTTGTAACTACATTAGATATTAAAAATGTCTGCTAAACTCCTGCTCTCACTGACACGCCATTTTCATTGGCAAGAAATTTTAGTTACCTCGGCTCTGCTCTGTGCCTTGCAAACATGACAAGACAAACATTTAGGTAGGAGACACACAATATGCATAGTCCCATTACAGAGCCTCATTCATAGCCAGCTTTGAATGGAAACACTTGACTTTTATTCATTTTGCTTATTAATAATTTACTTCAATCAAACTCACAGCTTTTGAAAACACAGTCAAGGAGTCAACAGATTTCCAGTAAGGACTCAAAACATTTCTATTTCCCACAAACTACCAACAACAAGATGATAAATAGAGTGAGGATAATTGAAATCAAATAATAAGAGTTCCACGGTTCAACATCATTTATCCAAATAACCAGTCAGGTGCCTCAAAACATTGTGGTTTGTACATTATCAAATGATGAACTTTCAAGCACATGCACACTGTATACAGTTTGGTTGGCATCAGCTAGTACTGACTAATACTGTGATTTCAGGAGCTTCATCAGGAGAATTACTCAAAAAAGTTTACAGATGATGGAAGGACATCATTTGCATATCATTTGCATAATCTGCACCACCACTAAAACCCTATAGATTGCTTACGCAATCTCCGGGTTAAAAAAGAGAATGCTTAAGTTGCTTTGGCATTGTATAATAGTTACCTTGAGAATTCTGGTTTTAATTTAATAAGGAACTACATATTTTGTACAGAATAACACAACTATCATACTACCTGGCAACACTCGAGTTGCCAGCTGTTGGCGCCAAATTAGAAGCTTGGAGACACAAAATGTTTCCTAATTTTCACTTTTTACTGCCTGATATGATTTTTGGAATTATAATTTTTTTTAATTTAAATTCTTTTTTGTGAACATTTGATGCTGTCTCTGGTGAGAAGAGTTGCCAACTTCAATGCTTTTCCTGTTAACATACATTGAATTTAGGACAGTAGAGTTTTTCCCACCTGCTTACTACTGATTGGTTAATTCAAATTTCAGGCACGCCAGCCGTATGCAAGGTTAGGGTGGCAGGATATTATAAGGGTTAGGGCATACGGTGTTATGGTATTAGGGTATTAGGGTATTGGGGTATTGGGGTATTAGGGTGTTGGGGTATTGGGGTACTGGGGTATTGTGTTATTAGGGTATTAGGGTATTAGAATATAAGTGTATTAAGGTATTGGGTTATTAGGGTATTGGTGCATTGGGGTATTAGGATATTAGGGTATTGGGTTATTTGGGTATTGGGGTATTGGGGTATTGGGGTATTGAGGAATTACTCTTGTACCTAAATATCCCAATACATCAATACCCCCAATACCCTAACACCCTAATAGTCTATTATCCTAATACCCTAATACCCTAATGCCCTAACACCCTAATACCTTAACACCCTAATGCCTAACACCTAAATANAACTATCATACTACCTGGCAACACTCGAGTTGCCAGCTGTTGGTGCCAAATTAGAAGCTTGGAGACACAAAATGTTTCCTAATTTTCACTTTTTACTGCCTGATATGATTTTTGGAATTACAATTTTTTTTAATTTAAATTCTTTTTTGTGAACATTTGATGCCATCTCTGGTGAGAAGAGTTGCCGACTTCAATGCTTTTCCTGTTAACATACATTGAATTTAGGACAGTAGAGTTTTTCCCACCTGCTTAATACTGATTGGTTAATTCAAATTTCAGGCACGCCAGCCGTATGCAAGGTTAGGGTGTCAGGATATTATAAGGGTTAGGGCATAGGGTGTTACAGTATTAGGGTATTAGGGTATTGGGGTATTGGGGTATTAGGGTGTTGGGGTATTGGGGTACTGGGGTATTGGGTTATTAGGGTATTAGGGTATTAGAATATAAGTGTATTAAGGTATTGGGTTATTAGGGTTTTGGGGTATTGGGGTATTGGTGTATTGGTGCATTGGGGTATTAGGATATTAGGGTATTGGGTTATTTGGGTATTGGGGAATTACTCTTATACCTAAATATCCCAATACATCAATAACCCCAATACCCTAATACCCTAATAGTCTATTATCCTAATACCCTAATAGTCTATTATCCTAATACCCTAATACCCTAATACCCTAATGCCCTAACACCCTAATACCTTAACACCCTAATGCCTAACACCTAAATACCCTAACACGGTAACACCTTATTCCTTTATACCCTATTACCCTAATATCCTAATACTATTATACCCTGATACCCTAATACCAGAAATACTCCAATACCATAATACCCTACTACCCTAAAGCCCTAATACCCCAATACCCTATTACCCTAATATCCTAATACCCCAATACCCTATTACCTTAATACCCTAATACCCCAATAACCTAGTACTAGCTAAAGTCCTAATACCCAAATACCCTATTACCCTAATACCTTAAGTGGCAGTCCCACTAAAAACGGTCCACTCGACTTCGGGACCAAAAATAATTTTCCTTCATTTTTTGTCGGTGAAAAGGGTTTGACACATATAGAAAAAAGCAATTTATTATTTTCCAATTCCTTATTTTTGCTTTGCTACGAGCCAAAATTGAATTTTGGTCGAACTGAGGTT